TTTTTATAAGTATTACTTTGTTATATCACCTAATTTTATATAGTCACAGCACTCCACTAAAAATTTCCGCCCATATATTTTTGTTATATGAATAACGTTGGCAAACTTTCGTAGAGCTGGCACATAAAGTCTAGTAATACTGGCAAAACTTTTGTGTCATTGCATTATTTTATTGCGCTTTTCAAATTACTGTGATCAGCAAATTTCACGTATCATACTGGGAATTAGAAATCTAAAATAAATGCGAATCCGTGATTGGTTAGAAATAATTTTTAGCCAATCATGTATTCGCATTTATTTTAGATTTCTGATTCCTGGTGTGATACGTGGAACAGTAATTTGAAAAGCGCAATAATGTAAAAGTTACGTACGTACGTACGTACACTCGTAACTTTATTGAATCTATTATGCCGAAATTACAAACTTAACCGAATCGGCTGAAATATCATTCGGCTAATTTTTATCAGGTGTTTCAGGAATTATGATAATAGCTGTAATTATGAGTTTATTTTTTGGCAACCGAAATAATTTCGGCTGCCGAAAATAATTCCGGCTGCCGTAATTATTTACGGCATTTAGGCATTTTGAAGTTGCTGCCGAAGATATAAAAAATGCACATGTGTTACGTTATTTCATGCCATTTCTAGATATAACGTATAAATAAGATCAAGATCTTCATTAAAAATTAAAAATAAAAATGTCAAATGGTGATCCTCAATAAAATTTATTGACATTTCGTACTTCAAATTGCATTGCCTCGATATTCTACATATTAATCTAATCTATTTAGAAATTTTTCACAAATGAGTTCAGTGAATAGTGTATTTTAATATAGCAGAGAGCTTCTTTTTTTTTTAGTAAAAAATTTTTATCAAATTATACTGCCTCCGCAGTATTTTTATTGATTGATTTTCAAATAGGACCACATCCAGATTTGATTTACATATTGCATTGAAACCCCAACGTAAAGTTTTAATGGTATAGGTGTTTTTAAGATAATACTCTTTCTCAATCTTAAATTATTGACTATGTCATCTAAAACTGAATATACTATATCAGTATAACAAAATTCCGGAATAGTGCTCCTAACAAATTTAGTATATGAGTCATGACACATCTAATAAATTTACTATAGCGAGATCAGTTTCGATCAAGCCAATTAGGAGCGTTACTCTGGACCGAAATGCCCGTAAAAGGAATGATTTACGATCATGCCGACCAACCAAATACGAATAAAAAGAAAAAGGAAAGATCTACCAATCACAATGATCGCATTGACCAATCTAATGTGGTCGAACATGCTTGAAAACCCCCCTTCGTTTCACTTCCATGCGACTCCGTTCCTGGTTGGTATATAACGTAACTTTTAAAGGTATCCGACATACATACCCTTTTAATATATAGTATTTATATTAGATATTAGATTTATATCTCTGTCCGAATATTTACATATCAGCACAAAATGAATTACTCCAAACTAGACAAATTAAATTTGGCAAAATCCAAAATTCTATAAGCTTATATTTTTTAGCCCAATACGATGTTTACAGTTTTAATAAAATTAAGGTTGATGATGTTTAAAATCAAAAATAAGTAATAAATATGCCAGCAAATAAGCAATACAAAACATGATTCAGATTTGATAAGGTTTAGAATTGGAATTCCAACAATTATACAGTATACGTATTTGCATAATAGTATGATCAACCTTAAATGAATGCTCGGAAGGGAAAACAACGAAACCTATAAGTAGTGTTCCGAATCGGTCAAAATTTTTCAAGTTGATTAATTGTCACCTTACCCGTATTTATTCGAAATAACGCTCACGGAAGTTATTTCGAGACAAATAATTTATCCAAGTACGAATCATAATTTTTTGTTATAAAAAATCTTCGGCTAAATTAATGATTAGCTCTCTTCAAACTATGAGTCAAAGAAAAAAAACTGCACGTGCGTACGTACTTATATACTTCATAGTTGTCGATCATACAGAATTTAGAAAATTCCGGTGATCAATGACGTACATACGAACGAATGGTTGAAATAGTTAGCTTGGTAGATCAATAATATTACGGGTTAAGGGTAGGGTGTACAAATTTCCAATTTCATATAAAATAGATTGTAGATCAACTTTGTGTAACGAATTTTATAT